ATGTTTTAGGGTTTCAGGATTGTTGTATTCTCTGTTCGGCTTAGTTTTTCGGATCTTTGCTGTGGAGGGACGGCGTGGTGCTTCTGCCTAGAGCGCCATTTTGCCGGAACTCCCCTATGGCTATATTTTTGAGCATAAATCTTTAGTACTTGTTTTTAGGGGCACATTATGGAACAACCATAATCAAATAATTTTTTAATTAATTAATTCTTTCAACAAATATTTAAGGAGCTCAATCATTTGTGCTCAGTAACAACATATGGGTAATGTATACCACATTGAACAGTGCAGATAGAACATTTCCATTATTGCAGAAAGTTCTATTAGACAGTGCTGGTCTTACAACAGCCCTATATGAACCATTTTATTTATGAGAAAACTAGGCTTAAGAGATAAAGCAATTAACCTAAATTCTAAAATCAGAGCTAGTTATAAACCCAGGCCTGATTCTAAACCTGCTATTGAATAAAAAATTAACTGAGCAAATACCAAATAAGGGCAATTTGATTAGATAATTATTTATATGAAAAAGAACTAGAGTCTTCTAAATGAAAGTAAATATGAGACAGTATGTAAAGAAATTTAATATCTTTTTTAAGTTTGTAAACTTTTAGAGAAATGGAATTAATATAATTTTTTTATACTGTCCAGCTTCCAACTGGAAAAGAAAAGGCTGGCATTTAATGGAAGTAATCTTAGGGAAAAAAAAGAAAAAGAAACTTAAAATCAACTAAAATTTTTCCTCTACAATGAGAAATATTTTTTAAAGTGATTGATCTGAGTATCATACAGCTATACATAAACTAGCATAAACAAAAGACAGTGAATAGATGCTGCATTACCTGCATCCAAAATATATTCCCAGTATTGATCATTTGCTAAGCAAATTACTTCTAAGGACATGACGGCCATCATCCTTCGTTTATAGCTTTCACAGTGCAACATTTCTGGTAAGTATTCAAGAAAAAAACACAAGCTGTAATTTCACAAGCGGCGATAGAATAATTGATTATATTTCTCTACAGGCCAGTAAAGCCAAGTGTTAAGATCACCACCGTCACCACCCAAATGCATTCATTAAATTCCCTAGTGTGCATAGCCCTCTCTGAGGTGCTGAATAGATTATATACACCCATGATCTTTGAGGTTTATAGTCTACATAGTAAGTGAAGAATATCCTGAAATTCTTTATCTTTGGTCTGAATGACTTAGACTAGCTGACCACATGGTTCAAATTCACTTGAAAAATAGTACATCTCCCTTGCCTGAAACCAGTTGTTGAATCAGTTTTTGAGGCTGCCAAAGTAAACTACATTATCATCAATCACAGTTTAATATCCACCCTATGTATGAGGCTTTATACATTTCATGAGTGTTAAGAAGGTAAATATTTTTAAATCTTCAATGAATTTATACTCCAAAGAGGAAGATAATAAAAATATACATACTCCTAAAAAGGATTTATGTGCAAGAAAAATACACAGACGTATGCTTTTTCCTTGTCTTTTTCCAGCCCTTCCAATACCAAATGTGGTCCTGACTCCTGGCTACATCATTCCATGACACTTTAAAGTTCAGCTTCCCCTCCAAGAACTAATCTTGGAGACCTCTAATTAACTTTGACTAATTCTTTTTTTACCCATAGTGAAAATGGGCAGTGTAGAGAAGGAGAGCCCTAGGGCACAAAGCAAAGGAGTGGTCAGATGCTCACTGCTTATTGTTCTGTTTGTGTCATTATCAGGACTTCCCAATAGTAACTGTCGGAAACAGTGGTTGTCAGGAGTTTCCTGTGCCGCTAGGCTATTCCTGTTAGGGGCCAGAGCTTCCTATTATGGAAGGTGGGTATTTGCAATGGTTTTCATCTATTAAAAGTAACAGGATGGTTCTCTCAGGTTCTCCTAAAAAGACTAAGATATAGTAATAGATAAATACACAAACATTGAAAACACTTTCCAATATAAATATTATGCACAGTTGAGCATTGTAGCGTACCACAGTAATGTCTCCTTTCTTTCTTTTTGTTTTTCCTGGAGGTAGTAATTTCTGTATTTATTTTTCATCTGCTTAGTTTTCTTTATACCTACTGGTAATTTCTCCCACACTTTTTCTCTGGTCTGTGTGCACAGTTTCCATTTGGGGGGTTCCCTTTGCTGTCATCCTTGAAATCCCTTTTCGTTTTCTCTTGAGTTGGACTCCCAGTGACCTGGATCTCTCTCCCATCTGGTTTCTGGGGGAGGATCCCACTGTCAGTATCTTGAGGTCTTTCTTAGGCTCTGCAGAAAAAAAATCCTGCCTAGCACTGCCAGTTCCTGAGCCTTTTGAAGGTTTTATGATGTGAGTTGGGGAGGTTCTCAGCTTTTCCACTTGTGGCTTGGAATTGTTTTCTGTGGTCTGCTTAGTCCTGAGACTTGCCTATTTCCATCTTCCAATACTTTGTTGTTGTTGTTTCCTTTCCTGTTTTCCATTGTCTGCTGCTGTTTTTGTTATTATTTAATCTCCATGCAGTTTTAGTAAGATCTTGGGAGGGACTAAAATTGGATGTATACATTCAGTTGGCCTATTAACCCTTACTTTTATAATATTTCTGGCTGGGTTGAATAAAAATTTGGGGGTAAATATCTCAAAAAGAATTTTTCACAAAACATTTATCAGAATATAAGGACGGATATTTCTAAATTTGTCTCTAAAATTAGGAGGAAAGAAATAATTGGAGGGAGTTTTTTGCATTCATACTTCAGTGTCCTCCCTCCTTACCTTTCCACTGTTTTAAATCCACTTTTTTTTTTGAATGAGAAGAATACTGTTAGACTTTTGTAAAAGGTTGGAAAATTTTTTTTTTAAATGTGTAAAATATAGTCTGAGTCACACAACTTTTAATTTAGAAATAAAACTTCTTACACACATAAAAATGTAGCTCAATGTTATCTGTATTTCTAGTTTAACTCAAAATATTTCATAATTTTTAAATGTTTAAAATATGATTCATGTATTATTTCAAAGTCAGAATCAATAATTAAACAGAATAATAATCAGAATATTTATTTGAGAAGAGATTATGTATTCTATACTTACCTACCAAAGTTTTCCAAACTGGGAGTTCAGGAATATTTAACTCTATTATATACTTGAGAACCTCTGTGTGAAAGGTTAGCACCGATAAATGAATTATATTATTTCCTTTAATATCTGTTTTTCTCCAGTTAGCACCAAGAGAAAATAGGTACTGGATAGTATCCAGTGCTCCTGAAGTGGCAGCAAGTAACAGTGGAGTACACTGATTCCTAAAAATCAAGGAACATATAATAATAATTAAACACACAAATTCATAAGGTTTTCACTGGTTAGTCTTTTCAGAAGTAGACTTCCAAGTCCTTCTTCCTAGTCTGCCTTAGTCTGGAAGCTCCACTGAAACCTGTCCACCAAGGGTGACCCTGCTGGTAAGGCTTCCAGTATCACAGCAACACACAAGCCACTACAGTATGACAAACTGACAGACGTGGAGAAAATGGAAGATTTTTACCAACTTCTGCAGTCTGTAATTGATCAAACATGTATTGATAATTACTGTGATTGGAATGCGAAAGCTGGAAACAAAGAAGGATTGGTAGTTAGAAAATATGGCTTTGGCCATAGAAACGACCCTGGAGATCGCATGATAGAATTTTGCAAAACCAATAACTTATTCATTGCAAATATCTTTTTTCAACAACATAAACAGCAACTACATAGAAATCAAACTGACTACATTTGTGAAAAGAGACTACAGAAAAGCTCAATATAATCAGTCAGAACAAGGCCAGAGGCCAGCTGTGGAACAGACCATCACTTGCTCATATACGAGTTCAAGTTGAAGCTGAAGAAAATTAGAACAAGTCCATGAAAGCCAAAATACAACCTTGAGTATCCCACCTAAACTTGAAGACCATCTTAAGAGTAGATTTAATGCATTGAACACTAACGACTGAAGACCAGATGCATTGTGGAAAGACATCAAGGACATCGTACGTGAAAAAAGTGAAAGGCCATTAAAAAGACAATAAAGAAAAGAGCAAAATGGATGTCAGAAGAGACTCTGAAACTTGCTTTTGAACGTAGAGAAGCTAAAGCAAATGACATAAGAGAGCTGAACAGAAGATTTCAAAGGGTGGCTTGAGAAGACAAAGTATTATAATGAAATGTGGAAAGACCTGGAGTTAGAAAACCAAAAGGGAAGAACACGCTGGACATTTCTTAAGCGGAAAGAACTGAAGAAAAACATTCAAGCCTTGAGTAGCACTAGTGAAGGATTTATGGGCAAAATACTGAACGATGCAGGAAGCATCAAAAGAAGACAGAAGGAATACACAGAGTCACAGTACCAAAAAGAATTGGTTGACATTCAGTCATTTTAGAAGGTAGCATATGATCACAAACCAATGATACTGAAGGAAGAAGTCCAAGCTTCACTGAAGGCACTGGCAAAAAACAAGACTTCAGGAATTGATGGAATACCAATTGAGATGTTTCAACAAATGGATGCAGTGCTGGAAGTATTCACTCATCTATGCCGAGAAATTTGGAAGACAGCTACCTGGCCAACCAACTGGAAGAGATCCATATTTGTGCCCACTCCAAAGAAAGGTGATCCAACAGAATGGGAAAATTATTGAACAATATCATTAATATCACAGACAAGTAAAATTCTGCTGAAGATCACTCAGAAGTGGTTGTGGCAGTACATCAACAGGGAACTGCCAGAAATTCAAGCTGAATTCAGAAGAGGACGTGGAACGAAGGGTATCATTGCTGATGTCAGATGAATCTTGGCTGAAAGCAGAGAATACCAGAAAGATGTTTATCTGTGTTTTATTGACTATGCAAAGGCATTCGACTGTGTGGATCATAGCAAATTATGGCTAACATTGCGAAGAATGGGAATTCCAGAACACTTAATTGTGCTCATGTGAAACCTGTGCTCATGTGAAACCTGTACATAGACCAAGAGGCAGTCGTTGGAACAGAACAGGGGATACTGTGTGGTTTAAAGTCAAGAAAGGTATGAGTCAGGGTTGTATCCTTTCACCATACCTATTCAGTCTGTATGCTGAGCAAATAATCTGAGAAGCTGGACTGTATGAAGAAGAACGAGGCATCAGGATTGGAGGAAAACTCATTAACAACCTGTGATATGCAGATGACACAACATTGCTTGTGTGAAGAGGACTTGAAGCATTTAATGATGAAGATCAAAGACTACAGCCTTCAGTATGGATTACACCTCAACCCAAAGAAAACAAAAATCCTCACAACTGGACCAATAAGCAACATTACGATAAACGGAGAAAAGATCGAGGTTGTCAAGGATTTCATTTTACTTGGATCCACAGTCGACACCCATGGAAGCAGCAGTCAGGAAACCAAACGACATGTTGCATTGGGCAAATTTGCTGCAAAAGACCTCTCTAAGTGTTAAAAAGCAGAGATGTTACTTTGAGGGCTAAAGTGCACTTGACCCAAGCCATGGTATTTTCAGTCACCTCATATGCATGCAAAAGCTGGACAATGAATAAGGAAGACCGAAGAAGAATTGATGCCTTTGAATTATGGTTTGTTGAAGAATATTGAATATACCATGGTCCGCAGAAGAGCAAACAAGTCTGTTTTGGAAGAAATACAGCCAGAGTGCTCCTTGGAAGTGAGAATGGCAAGACTTCATGTCATGTATTTTGGACATGTTATCAGGAGGGACTAATCCCTGGAGAAGGACATCATGCTTGGTAGAGAAGAGAGTCAGCAAAAAAGAGGATGATCCTTGATGAGATGGATTGACACAGGCCTGCAACAATGGCCTCAACCATAACAGTGATTGTGAGGATGGCACAGGACCAGGCAGTGTTTCATTCTGTTGTACATAGAGTCGTTATGAGTCAGAGCCAACTCAAGGGCATCTAACAACAACAAGCACACATATAGTGTCAAATACACTTTTCGTAAAACTATTCAAATTGCTGTTGGAGGAATTCTGATTTCTATCATCACCTTCTCTTCCTAATGCATTCTTGTCCTCTATATTCCACATGTAAACAGATTTGCCTCTATAATACTCTTGTCTCGGCTTTCTTTAGTATTTGTTCCTTTGCTGCCTCCCAGCTTAATTGTTGTTGCTGTTGTTAGGTGCCATCAAGTCGGTTCGGACTCATAGCTTGGACTCATAGCGACCCTATATGCTTAGTTATTATGCCTTATAATGTGTCTAGAGGTTGGTAATGCACAAAGTTCATTGTATACATAGTATACGCTATCCTGTCTAATCCTTATAACAACTCTATGAGCAAATCAAAAAGTAAGGCAAGTATTATCAGCCTATTTTAAAAATGATGAAACTGAGGCTCAAAACCATTTCTTCAGGCTTCATGTCTAGCCCTTAAATCCCAGCTTTCTCATTGTGGCAGAAACTAACAGTTTTTCTCAAAAATTCATTCTCTGCTTCTTAGATAGTAAAGATGTTTTGGTTGGACACATGGCTATCCAGCCAAATACATTTCTCAGGCTCCCTGATGGTCATATGACTATGTTTGGCCAATGGCATGTTAGTAGATGTTTCACAGGCAATTCCCTAGAGAGAAAAGGAGTATGTCATTAGTTTTCTTCTCATGGCTAGAAGGCACACATGGTAATGGAAGCAGGAGTTACTATTTTGTACCATGATATAGAAGCCACATATTAAGGAGCAACAAAATGGGTCCTTGGTACCGTTAGGCCATTATGCCAGCCCTGGGCCACCAATTCAGACTTTTCATGAGAGAGAACTACATGTTTTATCTTGTTTAAACCACCATATTTTTTAGTTTCTTTGTTATATCAGCTTAAGCTCTTTCTTAACTAAACTAACAATGTGACCTTAAGCAAATCAGGTTACTTTCTTCATTTGCTAAGATGAAAACAAAAAACAAAACACCGAGCCTAACAACCACCTGGCAGTATTGGTGTAAGGGTTAAATTAGGAGTCTAGCACAGTTTCGCCTAGCAGAGTCTTGATATATAGTTTCCCTCTCCTTCCCCTTTCACCATATCACAATGCCCCAATCATTATTTCCTTCATCCTTATACCCCATGCCTTCCTCTTAGCTCAGACCCTTCCTCTTGATGCCTGCCTTTGAACTCTCACCTCCATTCTGCTGGCCCCAAGCCTCTCCTCTATCCTCTTTTCCTGGACCCTGGAGAATCTCTTCTCCTTTATGGATAAACATATCTTCACTTCCTCCCTGTTCTATTTTAACAAGACTGTTCTCTTGCTTGCTTTCTTCTAGTCAATGTAGGAATAAAGATTACTTCTAACACCATCACTCTGATTTTCCTCATTTGAAAAATATGCTATCAAATTATATTACCATTTTCAACGCTGTATTTCCATTGTTCCTGCCCAGCTGGACCCTCTTCCACCATTCTAGCACATGCGTTGCCTCACTAACATGTTTCCTCTTATTTTCAGTGACTTCAACACCTGTGTTCTGATCTCTCAGTTCTTTGTCATAGTTTCATTTGGCTCCATATTCATATACACCAAAAGGTCACACTCCTCATTTGTTCCCAAACTTGCTAACTCTCCTCTCAAAATCCTTTGCCTTTATTTTACATTCACAGATAGTTTATTACTTCTACCTCTGATGTTCAATTGTTTGACCTTTTGCAAATCACCCAGTCTTTTAGCCCCCTTTTACTGAAAAGTCACGTTGCCAGGAGGTGACAGAACTAGAAATGGAACTCAGGTCTCCACATTCCATGGCTTTTCCAAAATCTGTTATTCAAAGAATCTATTAGAGGTTTTGGTTTTCCCTACAGGGAGGATTCATTTCTTCTCTGAAAAGATGGAATAATAATCTCTCCTGTGAAAACCTGATATTTGAAGACCCAGGTAAACCTGAATGAAACTATGCCTGAATCATGTTCAGAGATTTGAAATAATAACCTGGTCTTTAAATTCTTAGCCAAGAATGTACCCTATTTCAAATATATATTTTTTTCTTTTTTAGTGTATTTCTTTTCTGTATACCTCTTGGTATCTCTACTGTGTTATCCAAGGCCTATTCACTTTGATCTGGAGCCCTAGGACTGCCTCCTGGTTGTGTAGATTCTAATTTAGGGTAACTTTCTTTTCCCTAATCTCAGACTTCTTCCAGGGCACTAAGTAGTTAACCTGATAAACTAATAGGTGGTTTACCATACTATGGGACAAGCTTAGGAAAAACTCCCTAGAACTTACTCCTATGCTTTCAGAAAGCCTGGACAGGTTAATAGAAGCTGCAGTCTATAAATTCTAAAGGTAAGAGGTAGGAGAAGATAGCAGGAAGGATAGCAAGTAAGCCTTATGTAGCCTTTCAAATCATACTGATTTTGCACTTGCCTTTTAGTGTCAGTGTGTGGGGTAAGCCAAGTAAAGAAGAAATTTATATTCATGTAAATGCTTAATAACTTACTCAGCTGTTGCCTCAGCTTCTAGCAAACTAGGATCCTTTCTACAGAGAGCAATGATGATGCATATATTGTCATAGAAAGCAGCAAAGTGAATCGGCATCCAGCCTCTTTTTTCAGAGAGTGTGTAATCTGCTTTGAAACAGAGTAGACAGATGGTTGCTTCTAGTGAGCAAGCTTGTGCAGCCAGGTGTAGAGGTGTTGGACCTAGAATGGGTGGACAGTTTCTTCAGTGGTTAAAGGTCTAACATTTCCAAAAAGTATGCCTCATTTGAAAAATTGGCAACCACAGAGTTAAAATGGATTTGTTTATATAAAACACTTCTAAAAAATTTTTTTTCTTGTACTTTAGATGAAGGTTTACAGAACAGTTTCTCATCAAACAGTTAGTACACATATTGTTTTATGACATTGGTTAATAATCCCACAACATGTCAACACTCTCCCTTCTTGACCTTGGGTTCCCTATTACCAGCTTTCCTGTCCCCTCCTGCCTTCTAGTCCTTGTCCCTGGGCTGTTGTGCCCCCTTAGTTTCATTTTGTTATAAATCACTTTTTACAAATAGCACTTAATCAGTTTTCCCCTTGAATATTAATTAATAGCAAAACTCAAATGACTGACTTGATACATTTTAAACTAAGTGGAATAACACCTTTTCAACTTCGGCTGTTGACATTTCCTATAAACCAAATTACCAATTAACATATTGTGGTTGAATTCCATTGTAACAGAACTTGGTATGGTAGGATATAAAAACCCTCAAATTAACACTAAAAAGATTAATACAGGAAATCTGACTATTATCAAAAATTCTTTATAAGTTAAGAAGAATAAATAACCTCAAAAGTGTTAAATTTTTGAAAATTTAATGTGTAAAATAGTCTTTTGATAAAATAACCTATTTGTTGTTTAAATTATTTTCCATTTTATTAAAATGTTTTGTAGTAGGAGATAAGATCCTTTGAAACTGAAAAAATAATAAAATAGCTTCTGTCGCTATATCTAATGGGAGTTTTTCAGTTTTCATCTGCCCTCTCAACGTTATTTGACACTGTCGACCATTTCCTCCTTTTTAAAAATATTCTTTTCCCTTGGTTTTTTGATATCATACTCTCCTGTTTTTCCAACTATCTCTCCTACTACTCCTTTGCAGTCTCCTTTGGGAATTTCTCATTGTCCTGATGTCTAAATGAGCCTTGAGGCTCTATCTTGAACCTTTTTTTTTTTTATTCTTCCTCCTTCTCAGTGGCTTCATTTACAACCTATAAATTTATGACTCCCAGGATTATGTCCCTAGACTTGATTTCTTCTATGAGCTCTTGATCTGTATATCCAACATCTCCCTGTGCATCTCCACACATCACTTCAAATTTAAAATAAAAAACAAGGGAAAAAATCTCCAAAACTTAAGAGGAATATCAGTAAATAACCATGGGTAGAAAAAATTTTATACTTCAAAATATATTTAATATATCATTGCGATCCTCGTGTGAGAGATCATTTTGTGGATTATATACTATAAGCAAAGTTTTAACATATTTAATAATCTTTTAAAATGCACTAAATGTTTCACTTATGTCTTACCGTTTCTTTCTTTTTTCATGTCCATTTTAGATGACTCTGTTTTTAAAAGAGAATACACATAAAATTATAATTATTACTATATAGCAGTTTCCTAATTTGTCAAAATAGACTCTTATGAATAAGAACAAAATTACAGTGTTTAGATACAGATGGCAGGATTACATCAAATAGTATTGACGTAACTTTTGGTCAAGCCATCCAGGCATGGTGCATATACCTGACAGTGAGATCAGAGCAGGCCTGGAAGTTCTGCCTCTCAATGACTGGTCAAAACTCACAGATGGAACAATTTTATGTTAGTTAAGTAATAATACATAGACATTGCCAATAGAGTTATATATTTTCCATACTTCAAAATATACCCAATTATCAGCAAGTGGGAATCCAAGCGGTCATAGAATGAATGAGACTTTAACTTACCAAATAATTATATAAGGTAGCCATAAGTGATACTTAGCTAATTAAAAAGAGCCCTTCTTCTCAGATAGATGACAACAAAAACCTCAACTTTGCTGTAAGTTAAGGGAAGCCCCCAAGGTTTCCAGGATTCAAGTGTAGAGAGAAGAAAAGCTTTTATTCTCTGATTCTTCTATAGCATTGAATTATCACAAATTAACGTTTTAATAAATTACCCTGACAAATTATTCATTAAATCCCTATTCTAAACAAGATGTCTGCTCTCACCACTTCTATTGAACATTTTACTGGAGCTCCTAGTCAGGGCAATTAGGCAAGGAAAAGATATAAAAGACATACAAATCAGAAAGGAAGAAGTAAAACTGTATCACAGATGACATGATCTTGTATATAGAAAATCTTATGGAATCCATAAAAATAATTAGAACTAATAAATGAGTTTGGCAAGGCTGCAGGATACAAGATCAATGCACATAAAGCAATTGTATTTCTATTTACTAGCAATGAATAATTTGAAAATAAAATTAAGAAAACAATTTTATTTACAATAACATCAAAAAGAATAAAATACTTAGAGATAAATTTAACAAAGACAATGTAAGAGTTGTACACTGAAAACTACAAATCATTGTTGAAAGAAATTAAAGAACTTAATTAATGGAAAGACATACCACGTTCATGGATCGGAAGTATTAACATGATTAACATAGCAATACTCCCAAAATTGATCTACTGATTCAACAAAATCCCTATCAATACACTAGCTACAATTTTTTTTCTCCAGAAATTTACAAGCTGATCCTAAAATTCATATGTAATTGCAAGGGATCCAGAATATTCAAAACAACTTTGAAAAAGAAGACTCACACTTTCTGATTTCAAAACTTACTACAAAGCTATAGTAAGCAAGACTGTGTGGTCCTAGTAAAAGGATAGAAATATAGATGGAATAGAATTGAGAGTCCAGAATAAAACTTTTACCTTTATAGTCAATTGATTTTTGACAAGGATATCAGGACAAATCAATTGGGAAAATCTTTTTAACAAATGGTACTAAGACAACTGGATATGCACATGCAAAAGAATGAAGTTGGATCCTGTCTTAGTTATCTACTGCTGCTATAACAGAAATACTACGAGTGGATGACTTCTACAAACAGAAATTTTTTCTCTCACAGTTTAGGGGGCCAGAAGTCCAAATTCAGGGTGCCAGCTCTAGAGGAAGGCTTTCCCTCTCTGTTGGCTCTGAAGGAAGGTTGTTGTCATCAATCTTCCCTGGTCTAGGAGCTTCTCCGCACAGGGACCCTGGGTCCAAAGGCTGCACTCCGCTCCTGGCTCTTCTTGCTTGGTGGCAATGAGGTCCCTCACTTCTCTGCTCGCTTCTCTCTTTTGTATCTCAAAAGACTGACTCAAGATACAAGATAATCCTGTAAATGGAGTCCTGCCTCATTAACATAACTGCCTCTAATCCTGCCTCATTAACGTCATAAACCCAAACCAAACCCATTGCCATGGAGTTGATTTTGACTCATAGTGACACTATAGGATAGAGTTGAACTGGCCTATAGGATTTCCAAGGAGCAGCTGGTGGATTTGAACAGCCGACCTTTAGGTTAGCAGCTGAGCTCTTAACCACTGCACAACCAGGGATCATATTAACAGAGGTAAGGATTTATAACACATGGGATAATCACATCAGATCACAAAATGGTGGACAACCACACGAAACTGGGAACCAAGTTTACACACTATTTGGGGGGGACACAATTCAATCCATATCAGACCCCTACTTCACACCATATACAAAAATTAATTCAAAATGGATCAGAAACCTAAAGTAAGAGCTAAAACTAGAAACTTTTAGAAGAAAACAGAAGAGTAAATCTTTATGACCTTGGATGAGGCAATGGTTTTTTAGACGTGACACAAAAAGCAGAGGTAGCAAAAGAAAAAACAGATAAATTGGACTTCATCAAAATTAAAAACTTTTCTGCTTAAAAGGGGACCATCAAGAAAGTGAGAAAAGAACTCATAGAATGGGAGAAAATATTTGTAAATCATATATCTGATAGGGCACTTATATCTGGAATATATATAGAACTCTTACAACTCAACAATAAAAAGACAATTTAATTTAAAAATAGGCAAAGGATTTGAATAGACATTTCTCCAAAGAAGATATACAAATGGCCAATAAGCACATGAAAGTTATTCAACATCTTTAGTCATCAGAGAAATGCAAATTAAAACCACAATGAGATGCCACTTCACACACACTATGTGGCTAAAATCAGGAAGCTAGGTGATAAAAAGTGTGGGTGAGAATAAGAAAAAATTGGTACCCTCATAGATTACTAATGGGATACTAAAATGATGACACTGTGGAAAACAATTGGGCAACTAACCTGTTGCCATTGAGTCGATTCCAACTCATAATGACCCTATAGGACAGAGTCGAACTGTCCCATAGGGTTTCCAAGGAGTGGCTGGTGGATTTGAACTGCTGACCTTTTAGTTAGCAGCTGTAGCTCTTAACCACTGCGCCACAAGGGCCCAGAGTTACCATATGACCCAGCAATTCTGCTCCTGAATTTTGTATATGTCCATACAAAAACATGTACACGAATTTTCATAGCATAATTCATAGTAGTTAAAAAGTGGAAACAGCCTAAATGCCCATCAACTGAGGAATGGATAGAAAAAGTGGTATATCCACACAATGGAATATTATTTAGCAATAAAAAGGAATGAAGTACTGATACATGCTACAACATAGATGAACCATGAAAATATTACGCTAAGTGAAAGAAGCTAGACACAAAAGGACAAATATTATATGATCCCACTGATAGGAACTATCCAGAATAGTCAAATCCAGAGAAGCACAAAGTAGATCAGTTGCCAGAGAGTTGGGGGAGGAAGGAATGGGAAGTGACTGCTAATGGGTACATGTTTTTTGGAGGGGTGATGGTGAAAATATTCTGGAATTATATAGTAATGATGGCTGCACAACTTTGTAATTATATTAAAAACCACTTTACACTGTATAAAAGGGTGAACTTTATCATATGTGAATTATATCTCAATAAATTTATTATAAAAAATTCCAATTTCTAAATTTCCATTCCTCTTCCTTTTCTTCCTCCTCCTTCACCTTCTTTCCAGTGGGTCCTGCCAAGAATACTGGCTGACAAATTGACAAAAGAAAAACAGGAGAGGATGCAAATAACCCAAATAAGAAATGAAATGGGGGACATTACAACAGACCCAACTGAGAACTATGAAAAACTATACTCCAACAAATTTGGAAACCTACAGGAAATGGACAAATTTCTAGAAACACACTACCTACCTAAACTAACACAAACTGAAGTTGAGAATGTGCACAGACCCATAACAAGAGAAGAGATTGAAAAGGTAATTAAAAAAACTTCAACAAAAAAAAGCCCTGGCCCAGATGGCTTCACTGGAGAATTCTACCAAACATTCAGAAAAGAGCTTATACCAGTACTACTCAAACTATTTCAAAACATAGAAATGGAAGGGATACTTCTGAGTTCATTCTATGAAGTCAGCATAACCCTGATACCAAAACCAGGCAAAGACACCAAAGAAAAAAAAATTACAGACCAATATCTCTCATGAATGTACATAGAAAAATTCTCAACAGAATTCTAGCCAACAGAATTCAGAATCATATCAAAAAAACAAATACACCATGACCAACTGGGATTCATACCAGGTATGCAAGGATGGTTCAACATTAGAAAATCAATCAACGTAATCCACCACATAAATAAAAAAAAAAAAGAATCAATGATCATCTCAATTGATGCAGAAAAGGCATTTGACAAAGTCCAACACCCATTCCTGATTAAAAATCTCAATAAAATAGGTATAGAAGGGAAATTCCTCAATAAAGGGCATCTATACAAGATCAACAGCCAACATAGTTCTTAATGGAAAGAGGCTGAAATCATTCCCCTTGAGAAAAGGAACAAGACAAGGATGCCCTTTATCAGCACTCCTATTTAACATTGTGCTGGAAGTCCTAGCCAGAATAATAAGGCAAGAAAAAGAAATAAATGGCATCTAAATGGGTAAGGAAAAAGTAAAACTGTCCCTATTTGTGAATGATATGATACTATACATACAAAACCCAAAAGACTCCACGAGAAAACTACTGGAACTAATAGATGCAGCAGAGTAGCAGGATACAAGATAAGCATACAAAAATCAGTAGGATTCCTATACACCAATAAAGAGAACTACAAAAAGGAAATCAGGAAAACAATAGCATTCATAAAAGTCCCTAAAAAAAATAAAATACCTAGGAATAAATCTTACCAAGGATGTAAAAGATCTATACAAAGAAAACTACAAAACACTACTGCAAGAAACCAAAAGAGACCTACATAAATGGAAAAACACACCATGCTCATGGATAGGTAGACTTAACATTGTGAAAATGTCAACTCTACCCAAAGAAATCTACAAATACAATGCAATCCTCATCAAAATAGCAACAGCATTCTTTTTATTTTTTATTGTACTTTAAGTGAAAGTTTATAATTCAAGTTAGTTTCTCATACAAAAATTTACACATACATTGTTATGTGACCCTACTTGCTCTCCCTATACTGTGACAGCACACTCCTCCTTTCCACCCCTGATTTCCCGTGTCCATTCAACCAGCTCCTGACCCTCTCTGCATTTTCATCTCACCTCTGGACAGAAGCTGCTTATTTAGTCTCATGTATCTACTTGAGCTAAGAAGCACACTCTTCACGAGTATCATTTTATATCACATAGTCCAGTCCAATCTTTGTCTGAAGAGTTGGCCTCGGGAATTGTTTTAGTTCTGGGTTGACAGTCTGGGGGCCATGCTTTCTGGGCTTCCTCCAGTCTCAGCCAGGCCATTTAAGTCTTGTCTTTTTACTAGAATTTGAGTTCTGCACCCCACTTTTCTCCTGCTCCACTGAGGACTCTGTTGTATTCCCTGTCAGGGCGGTCATTGGTGGTAGTTGGGCATCGTCTAGTTCTTCTGGTGTCATGATGATGCAGTCTCTGGCTTATGTGGCCCTTTCTGTCTCTTGGGCTAATACTTTCCTTGTGTCTTTGGTGTTCTTCATTCTTTACTCCAGGTGGGTTGGGACCAATTGATGCCTCTTAGATGGCCGCTTGCTAGCTTTTAAGACCCCAGATGCCACTCATCAATGTAGGATGCAGAACATTTTAATAAACTTTGTTATGCCAGTTGGCCTAGATGTCCCCTGAAACCATAGTCCCCAGACCCCCACCCCTGCTACTCTGTCCCTTAAAGTTTTTGGTTGTATTCAGGAAACTTCTTAGCTTTGGTTTAGTCCAGTTGTGCTGACTTCCCCTGTAATGTGTGCTGTCCTTCCCTTCACCTAAAGTAATTCTTGTCTACTATCTAGTTAGTGAATCACCCTCTCCCTCCCTCTCCACCCTTGTAACCATCAAAGAATGTTTTCTTCGGTGTTTAAACCTTTTCTTGAGTTCTTACAATAGTGGTCTTATACAATATTTGTCCTTCTGTGACTGACTAAATTCACTCAGCATAATGCCCTCCAGATTCCTCCACGGTATGTTTCACAGATTCATCGTCCAACAGCATTCTTTAAAGAGATGGAAAAACTAATCATTAACTTTATATGGAAAGAAAAGAGGCCCTGGAGAAATAAAGCACTACTGAAGAAGAATAAAGTAGGAGGACTCACACTACCTGACCTCAGAACCTACTGTACAGCTATGGTAGTCAAAACAGCCTCAGAAGCACTGTTAGGAATAATTCAAGTCAATAGATACCAGCAACAAATTTTAACCTTGCTCTAAAATCAACATACATAATTCTTAATGCTGAATAAAGGGTAAAAGAAAACAATTTTAGGTTTTAAAAACTTTATGGTACCTTGGCTGAACATAATAAAGCGTCTCTGGTTGACATTAAAGTTAGCATTGCAGAGTTGACATATAATAGCAACTCTGTTGTGTAGAGCAGCATGATGGAAAATAGCATAACCTCCTTCATCTGAAACATTGATTGTCGAACTTGAGGTTTTACGGCTAAATGTGTGGAAAACGGCAGCTAACCCTCTTTCAACAGCAGACTTCATACCAAATGGGATACTCTAAAATTATTAAAAAGGCCAGAATTAGTTTTTTTCAAAAGACATCTAAATTTTGGTGGTGGTGGTGGTGGGGGAAGATATGAGCTATGTTAATATAATAATTACATGATTGGCACTCAACTACAAAAGAATTTTCACAAAACCCATGTGGAAAATGTCTCACTAGGTAATAATTAAAGTTGTTAGATGTATAAAGAAACATCAAGAACTCTAAAAAAGATTTTTGGAAAGATTTTTTTTTTCCCTTTTTTTTTAGGCAAAGTTGGAGGTCCTTCTCTGGAGACCTAATTTAAAACAGGGTATTGTTTTAAAATAAATATCTCTGAAATACTTTAAAAGCAGATAGAGATCATTGGTTCCTTCTCTGATTTGAAAATAATCTAATTTAGAAGTCTAGAAACTTGAAATATCTAGCTGTTGAAGGATAGTTTGTCTTCTTTTGCTCTAGGTCTCAAAATGGGGAGGTAAAAAAGTCACCCTCTTCATTTAGACATTCTGACTACTTAATATTTTAAAATTAGACTAACAGGTTATTAAAGTTTTAAATTTATGAACATATTAAAACTAATAAATGGGAAATAAATGCCAGCGTGATCTTTGAAATTGCCAAACTCACCCCTTTATTTATCAGTTTCAGAGACTCTGAGGCAAAGCTTACTGAAGAAGACACAGAGATTTGGTTCAGAAGTTAGGCTTGCTCTGAGGCTTAGTTGTCAAAACTGAAATCTGGTTCTGCCTTTTAGCAGCTGTGTGATTTAGGCAAGATCCTTAACAGTTTGTGCCACAAATTTCTCAGTCGAAAATAGGAATAATGATAATATTACAAGTACCTTATCTTATGGAGTTGTTGAATGGATTTATAATATAATAGTGTCTGGCATACAATGCAAGCAATCAATATTAACCATTAGTAAGATTAACCATAGTCCAGTTCATTAAATGATTATTTTATATCTTGTCAGAAATTAATAACTCAGAATTATATAACCTTTTGATTGTATTGAAGACTATTTAACCTATTGTTTATCCCTAAGATTAGGAGAATTTGAGACACATATATATGTATGTATGTATGGAAACCCTGGTGGCATAGCGGTTAAGAGCTACAGATGCTAACCAAAAGGTCGGCAGTTCAAATCTACCAGCCACTCCTTGGAAACCCTATGAGGCAGTTCTGTTCTGTCCTATAGGGTCGCTATGAATCGGAATCGAGTCGACAGCAACGGGTTTGGCTTTTGGTTTTGGTATGTATGTGTGTGTGTGTGTGTGTGTGTATATATATTTATATATAATTTCTTATACTAAATTATGTGGTAATCACTGAAATACCTTGCATTTCATAGCTTTTTTGAAACCAAATTTTTTCTTAAATTGTTCATGTAATTGAGCATCTGTCAGTGGAAGTCTTTTTGGTCTCAGATTGTTCACAATTTCATTTATGGCTCCCCACCACTGTGTCTTATATAGTTGCTGATAGAAAGTTTCAAGTTCAAAACAGATCACATAGTAGCTATAAAAAATAAAGAAAAACGATAAGTTTTTCTAACTTTGAAGTGATTTGCTACTTTTTTTTTTCTGTTCTGGCATAGAAAAAAATTTGATGTTCTATAACAATTAAATACAAAAATTTTAAATTGTAGTCTATTGTAAGTATTTTAATAGCATTGTTACCAATTATTACTAATCAGGCCTTTATATTGCAAATATCTTCTTCATATCAGCCCTTCCAACTGGCTCTGTCCTTCCCATGCCAGTGAGCAGGGGCACTGCCTAAAAAGTCACTGGAAGCCCTAAACTCTGGCGTGAAGGAGTCTAGGTTTACCATCCAGCCATTTGCTTATCTTCCTCTTATGAAATTATATATTAGCTCTTTTAATCTACTCATGTTTATATTTGCTTTCTCAGGGCTTTACCTTGAGTCTAACCTGGAAAATCCTATGGATGCTGCTTTGGGTAAAGGCTCCTTGGCTTTTACTCACTGTAACAATGAACTAAAAAAAACCCCAACACACCAATGTCCAACTCAGGCTCCTGGGACATAGGTGGGGCTTGTAACAGCCTTGGGCCCCTATCATCCTGGAATGAAAAAGTGACAAAATTTTGAATTACTCTACTCCTTGGCGTCATTTCTCATCATCAGAGAAAGGAAAATGTTGGCTGCCTTTCATTACTGTCTGTTAATACTCCTTTCCCCACTCCCAGATTTCAGCAGTGAGCACTTTAGCTACTGACCCTCCCTGTGCCAGTGGGAGGCCTTTTAAGGCTACCTGGATTTTACTCTAATATAACTGTTTATTGCTGCAAATACAATATTCTTGACAGGAATCACCTCTTCCTATGTCTTGTCATTCTGTTGCTCAGGGACTATCAGCTTTCCTAAGGGTGTTGAGAAATTCACTCCATGTACAAATTTCCAGGAAAGTGGGTCAGGAACTCTATGCCAAGGAAACTCCTTGGCCAAAAGCTCGGGGGAAAATCACTAGGCCCCATAGGTTAGTAACAGGAGGGTCTCAGGGAAAAACTCTGTTATGAACTGGTCAGAGACTAATAACTTCTCTTCCTTGACCCTTATTCCAATCCCAACTTTCTGAATATAATAGATCTCAGTGCGTGGAAGGAGGCATGTCTGAAAACCTGTTCACATTTACTTGTGGGTACCACTCTTCCTATCTAAAACCCTCTCATCCCAAGAGGAAACCAGACCACAGGAATATAAACTAAAGGCTATCATCATCTACATCTAGCCAGTGCATACTGCTCCAAGAGAATCCTGATGTCAGCAACATCTGCCTTCATGTACTTCTCCAGGAGCTGGCTGTGGTGAAATGCTATGGGAACAGGAGCTGCTGGCCACCTTTGGGGCACAGAGGGAACCTGATATTCAGTGATGTAGTCTTAGACCACTGTTCATGCAATGAGACAGATTTGTAAATTCAACCAACACCAAAGGAAGATGGGCTGATTTCTTCTAGAAATTCACCCTAGTCATCCAGTACAAATCAAGTATCCAGTACCTCCTGAGAGCCGTCCTAACTTAGAAACTAGGTGGTGGAGATTGCTGTACCCTGAGACAGTCTCTGACAAGAGAATTTTGTGACTCCCATGGTTGAATTCTGTAAGCCAAGTGTTAAGCATGTTAGGAATGATTATTGGAAGCACAGAAAGCCCAAATGGCCAATGTTATGAGGTGAGTGACTGTGTATTTCAGCCAGGAAACCCAGATCCAAGTACTGCATAGTGACATACCACTTCCTTTATTGAAAACCTTAAGTGTGGTCATCTGCAGGGACTTTGGGGGAGCATCACTTTTAAAATAATTCCCTCCATATTCTTCTGCCTGGGAATCTGCACCAGGTTAGGGACTGTGGTGGAGAGCATCTAGCACCACATCTCTGACACACCACTGTCACATGAAGTTGATTTCTGACCTGCCTCCCAAAATCCACAACACCATCATGATGCTGGTATGCTGTCCCCAAAATAGAGCATTTTAGTACCTGCATCATTTACCTATTGGCTTCCAGTAATTGTTGTCTTGATCATTTATGAGTTCCTCTACTTTCATGGACTGCCAAATCACAGGGTTTCAGATTGTGGCACCTATGTTTTGATTCTGGTATTGTGAGAGGTCCCAACCTAAGCCTAAAATGAGTCTAAGATTTAGATGTTTCTGGGCATGCCTGGAGGGTTAGTAGAACAGACCCTATTTTCATAAGGGACCAGTAGTCTCCTGGTAAATAAATCATTCTGGGGGAACAGACAACAATGGTATTCGTGTTGAGTTGCATGCATGGGAATTCTTGGGCACTGGGGGACCCAGTGGTCGATTATCACAGGGAGCATGGGCAGGAAAGAAGGAAAGTGCAGGTACTTCATAGTAGCTGAGAGTGCTGATCCATGAACATATAAGGTACACCTGGAATTCTTAGGAATAGTTAAGCATGGGTGGATTGTATAGAGAACTAAGGTTTCTCTAGTAATTGTTAAAAGAGCCAGGAAAATACTGATTATTACTCTACTTGTGATTTTTACTTTTACTCTGTGCTGGCTGGGTCTGGGAAACAAGCCTATGCTAGCTTTGAAAGCCTACAAATTCAGATCCATCTTCCTACCATTCACCAACACAGATGGCCAAATGCTGTGCATTAGTCAGAAACTAGAAAAACAATTCTACTATGACATCCCATTGCAACAACATGACTGGATCACTTACAATGCTATGACAGGGCACTTACACCAACCATACTCCTCCACCCACAACAATCTCGCACCAAGTACAGTGTTCATCCCAACTACTTCCCTACATTCCCAGCATCATTGGTACCCCACCAGCCTGCTAGAACCTTGGAGAACCAAGCTTTATTCACCATTTAGCTTGGCAAGGGTTATATGCAGAGTAGGCCAACAGATGCTGGGTTCCTGACTGAGAGGTCCTCCTCCAGGGATATGCATACTACCTGTACATGCCAGAAACTTGAATCTGCAGCTTGGTTCTCTTCAAAATCATGGAGGTCATTAGTCACATGGTTTTCTACTTTAGCTCAAGTACTACATGTGCACCCAAGGAGAATTCAATGGAAAGATCCAACTTTTATCTTTTATCCTACTTTTCTCTTTGCCTTATTTCTCTTATCTTCTCACTGCCATCCATCTTTAAAGAAACTTATAATCCTTGCCTTTCCTTCTTCACTTCCTATTTATTCCTCCCAACTTTACATCCCACTATAAATAGCCTTCCATAATCACCATCCCACTGAAATTATCTTTCCATGTCATTTCCAAATTTAGAGGATTCTTTTTGGACTTAATTTTACTTGGCCTTTTTCTCTATAGCATTTGATGCTTTTAATTATTTGCACATATGAAAATTCTCTCCATTTTTGAGTTTCATGGCATTGTCCTCTCTTGGTTTTCTTCTATCTCTTATTATTCCTTCTCAGTCTCCTTTGCTGGATTTCTCTTCCTCTGCCACCCGCCCCTTAAAAGCTGCTATTCTTTAGAGTTCCAGACTTGGCCCTACCCTCTCAACTACTTTCATGCTTAAAACAAAACAAGTAAAAAATCATTTAAATGCTCTTAAATCTCAAACTTCTACTTCCAACCCAAGGTATTGCTAAACCTGTATTTTCAAATTACAGTGTCCAGAATGTGAAAATCCAAGAAGACAACACACAAAAGATTCTGTAATACTGGGAGATATATACCTGCTCCAAAAGATGACAGGTATAACAAGAGCTAGTTGAAGAAGAGATTTAAGTCAGATTTCTTATGGAAATGAATGGTATGTGTTGAATCCTCTGCTTTTCAGTTGATCCCGCCTCCACCCCTATTTAACCACTGTGTTAATTATAAAAACTATTAACAAGCTGTAAGGATTATTACACCAGATGTATCAAAGTACGTGAAGTAATAATATAACATTTAATACTGGAGTCAGTGTGTCATTTATGGGGGATTATTGTTCTAGGATCTCTGTTCCTGGATTTTTAGTCGGCCTTTGCATTTTGACACATCGTTTTTCTCTCATCCTTGCTACAGAGTCCCTAACGTTCAACAAGTTGCAGCTACTAGGAATAAATACTGAAAGTTCCTTACCTTTTTCCATGAAATTCCATGACTGGTATTGAGTAATATTCTTTGTATCCTGAATCTTCTACAAAAGTATTAGCAGCACAATCCCGTATTTTTTCTAAATTGTTCTAAAATATGAGTTATGTCATTAAAAATATCTTTAAACAAATCTAAATAGTGAGACTTCTTTTAGATAAAATTTTATACATGTAAATGACAAATTTTTAGTATAGTAACCCACAAGGCCCTGATAGTATCTGCAAGTATCCACTCCCTACTTTGGGAATGAGGAAAAAAATAAAATAAAATAAAAAGATATATAATATATAGAGAGAGGAGAAGGTAGAAAAGCAATGAAAATTGAAATGTATAGTGTTTATACTAAATTTCAGATGAAGATTACTGTTCCAAACTCTAATACTAATCTTTGAGGCAAATGGAAGAATATGTAGTGAGTGTTTCGGGATTTCTTCTGCACTCTGATGAACTATTCTAGGGCACATACAAAGTCTATAGGTTCTGTGAGGATGATGGCTGTACCTATGTTATTTGTAATTTTACCTCTGACATCTAACATAGTACCTAATATATAGTTACACTTAACCATGTATATTAAATAATATATGAATAAATTTGTGAGTTGTGAGAGTATTTGGAGAGCTGCCTAATGTGTGTACCAACAGAGACTCTGCAGTTGAAGAAGAGGATAAGACTTGTGAAATGACAGACCATTTCAGGAATGGTAATAATTTAAACCTGAAAATCTTCCAGAGCATTCTCAATTGGAGGCGTGCTGATATCAAATTCAATTCCTCCATGAACATGGAAATATTGATTCTCTTTGTAGTGGAAATTCTGGCATTTAAAATCTCGTCCAAAAATAAATGGAGGCAACTCTCGCTCTGTCTTGACCTTGTCATCTCCAAAAATGAAAACAAGTTTTTATTTAAAAAATGAACAGCACATAAACAATTATATTTTGGAGATCTAAATTCTCATTATGTAAACAAAGTGAAAAAATTCCACATGAAATTCAAATCTTGACAATTAAAGATTATTAAATTATACTTTATACAAATATTTTAAGCATTAAAATATATTTATATCATACACTTTGGCATTTTCTGTAGTTTCATTGCACAGATATTTCAAATGTATAGTCAAAACACTGTTCTATATATTGTTTTCTGTTTAAGACTAATATCTTACCCCATTACCAGAAAGATATCACGTGGTAATTGAAACTCTATGTCTTAGAGAACCTTTGGTTAAATAAACAAAAACTTGAGCTAGCTTAGGTAAAAAGAGATAGTATAAAGAAATAAGTGGGTATTTCTCACATGACAAAAACTAACAGGCTGATTTTTCTGGAAAGTAATGCAACCATACATATAACATTTATTTAAAAATAATTTGCTAAAATCCTAGCAAGATTAGGTTTGTTCATTATTTTCAGTTGTTTGGACAGAACAAGGGGATACTGTGTGGTTTAAAGTCAGTATACTGAGCAAATAATCCAAGAAACTGGACTATATGAAGAACAATGGGTCATCAGGATTGGAGGAAAACTCATTAATAACCTGCATTATGCAGATGACACAACCTTGCTTGCTTAAAGTGAAGAGTACTAGAAACACTTTCTGATGAATATCAAAGACCACAGCCTTCAGCATGGATTACACTTCAACACAAAGAAAACAAAATTCCTCACAACTGGACCAATAAGCAACATCATGATAAATGGAGAAAAGACTGACGTTGTCAAGGACTTCATTTTACTTGGATTCACAATCATGGAAGCAGCAGTCAAGAAATCAAAAGACGCATTTCATTGGGCAAATCTGTTGCAAAAGACCTCTTCAAAGTGTTGAAAAGCAAAGATGTCACCTTGAAGACTAAGGTTTGCCTGACCCAAGCCATGGTATTTTCATTTGCATCATATGTGTGCGAATGCTGGACAGTGAATAAGGAAGACCAAAGAAAAATGGATGCCTCTGAATTGTGGTGGTGGCAAAGAATATTGAATATACTATGGACTGCCAAAAGAACAAACAAATCTGTCTTGAAAAAGTACAGCCAGAATTCTCCTTAGAAGCAGGGATGACAAGACTACATCTTACATATTTTGGACATACTGTCAGGAGGGATCAGTCCCTGGAGAAGGACATCATGCTTGGTAAAGTACAGGGTCAGCGGAAAAGAGAAAGACCTTCAACGAGATGGACTGACACAGTGCTGTAATAGTGGGCTCAAGCATAACAACGATTATGGGCATGGTGCAGGACTGGGCAGTGTTTCGTTCTGTTGTACATGGGGTCATTATGAGTCAGAACCAACTCGACGGCACCTAACAACAACAACAAGAACAAGCCTACATGCTTGGATGATACCAAAAATATTTAAATTGTGTGCTACTCTGGGAGGGAGGAAGAGTTTGCACGGCAGCCCTGTTGTTTACACATCTTTTGCATTATGATCATCTTTCCACATTAAGTAAATTCTTCTAAGAAAAAAGACAAGTTTGGGAAGAAATTAGGTGAGCCTACTTAAACATCACATAGTGAAGAACCTTTTATGGAGGAACTTGTTCAACCTGATGTTCATTGTTGGTTGGAGGAAGAAGAAGAACAGGATCCACAAATATTCAAAGCCAGATCTCTCAAAAAACTGTTAATCTTCCAGACACATGGTTGTCATCATCACACTCTAAAATGCAATTACAAGCACATGTTCTTAGAAACTACATAATCATAAGCAAAGGGAACATGGACATCTATTTTGAGTTATCATTTTCGTTTTTGCTTTCTCCTGTGACTTCATGTATGGTTTTGGACAATGGTTTGTAGCCTCTACTTCCGCAGCCTTGAGTCCACTACCACTTCCTTGGATTTAGACATCGACCAACTTCAGGGATCTACCATTTCTCTCATTCCCTCACCAGCTCATGGTTGCTCATCTTCACCCATCACAATACAGCAACAGTGATGAAAACATTTACCTCCCTTTACTTGTCACCAAATTCACCAGGCATTTCAATTATTTGTCTATTGCTCTCAGCCCACATTTGTCCTTTAATATCTTTTCTGAATACCCACAAGTTACTGTTTTCATACTCCTTTACTGCTGTCCTCCAGTTCCATTCTGCCAATGGGAGGTACTGACAGGACACTGGCAGGTGAGGAGAAGAAGCCATTTCCGCCTTGTTTCCAGCTTTGGCAGACAGCATGGTTGTGGCAGCAGTACCAGGACTTCCACACATCAGTGAGCGTGAGAGCTCCTTGGCATTGCGCTCAGGTGCAATGGCAGTTCTGGCAGCAGCCTCTGCAGTGTAGTGTTTCTGTATCTGGAGTAATACCGCTTTCCCTTTTGGTCCCCAAGCCCTAGGAGTGGTAGCAGTCTCTTGTAGTTACTGCTGTATGTTTGAGTAACATCAGCTTTCCCTTTTCACTGCTTGAGCTCTGACCAAACTTTTGTAATAAATTCCCTGTATTAAATCTCATTTGTTTAAATGATCTTATTTATATTATTTTGCTATATATTATTTTCATTTATTATGTATCTTTACTGGATTATTTATATTATAGTACATGTTCATTGCAGTATAGAAAAAAGTAATTCAAGTCCAATCCTACAGTATTGTTGGGTACTGCATACAATGGGTTCATTAAGTTAAATAACTAGGTGCTTAAAATCTTTATATTATGCAGAAATCATTGGTGGATTGTTACGTAGGTTATTTAAAAGAATTTTAGAGTTATTTGGGGAAGTTGATTAGTGATTTTGGATGAGCTAAGAACTCATTATTATTTTTACATTAAAAATAATGAAATATAAACTCCTGCTTTGCAAAAACTTGCTCTCCAAACATTTTTTCAGGAATAGATTAGATTAAGATGATGAAGGATGCCTGTATATGCACATTAATAAGAGATACACAGTTCTTTCGGTATGTTTTTCATTTATGTTGAAAACAATATCAGAGTATTTATTCTTTCTGAACCTTAGTTTTTGAAACTTAAAGTTATGTTTTTGAGATATATTTGATTGCTATGTATATATAATATATATACATACATATAGTTATGTTTTTGAGATATAGTTAATTGCCATATAGATTCATGCTAATATGCACACACACACACACACACACACACACACACAATATTAGTTTCCTAGGGCTGCCAAAACAAAATACTACAAATTGAGTGCCTTATATGAACAGAAATTTATTGTCTCACAATTCTAGAGGCTATAAGTCCAAAACAGGCTGAGGAAAGAATCAGTGATCTTGCAGATATGTCAGTAGAAACTTATCAAACTGAAATCCAAAGGGGGAAAAAAGAATAAGAAAAACAGAATAGAATATCCAAGAGCTGTGGGACAGTAACAAAAGGTATAACATGCAGAAAAAATATTTGGAGTATTAATAGCTTAGAATTTTCCAAAACTAACAAGAGACACAAACCACAGATTCAGGAAACTCAATCAGGATAGATACCAAAGAATCCACACCTAGGCATATAATATTCAAACTGCAGAAAACCAAAGAGAAAGAAAATCTTGAAAGAAGCCAAAGAAGGAAGGAAGGGAAGCCTTACCTACGGAGGAACAAAAGAATTACGTCAGACTCCTAATCAGAAACCATGCAAGCAAGAAAGGAGTCAAATGAAATATTTAAAATATTGAAAGAAACGAACCAACAACCTAGAATTCTGTATCCAGTGAAATTATCCTTCAAAAGGGAAGGAGAAATAAAGATTTTCTCTGACAAAAACTGAAAGAATTTATTGCCTGTATATCTGTCTTGCAAAAAAAATGTTAAAGAAGTTCTTTAGAGAGAAGGGAAATCAAATAGGTCAGAAATTCAGATCTACATAAAGGAAGAGTGGCAGAGAAGGAATAAATGAAGGTAAAATAGAATCTTTTTCTTATTCTTAATTGATCTAACAGATCATTGTTCAAAGTATTGGGTGATTATAGCATAAGGGTCAGTGAAATCAATGAAAGTAATGTTATAAGGGGCAGGAGCGATGAAGTGGAAATATTCTAAGGTAACTGTACTACCCATGCAGTGGTATAGTGTTATTTGAAAGTGGACTTAGATTAGTTGTAAATGTATACTGCAAACTGTAGGGCAACCACTAATTTTTTTTTTCCAAAGAAGTATAATTGATATGTTAAGAGAGGAGAGAAAATGGAATCATATAAAATGTTCAATTAAAACCAGAGAAGGGAGTTTCGGCAAAATGGCGCTCTAGGCAGAAGCACCACGCTGTCCCTCTACAGCAAAGATCTGAAAAACTAAGCTGAACAGAGAATACAACAATCCTGAAACCCTAAAACATTAAATGAAGAGATAAAGAACTCAGCCAAGCACCAAATGGACTGAGAAAACTGACAGAGAAAGGACAGCGAGGAGAGATTCATGCAGAGGTCCCCTACCAGCTAACACAACGCGGATCCACGATCTTGGACTCCTAT